TACCGTTCGATGTGTGGTTTCCACATTGCGTTTGTCCGCATTATGCTATTCACTTCTTTCTGGACGTGACCTTTAAGATCTACTAATGCAGCGTTACATCTCGGCCATTCTGAAAGGTCATCTTGGGAGGCGTTTTGGCAACATTCTGTGCATGCCCAATGTGGTTGCACTCTACACGGATCCTCGTAGTAACCGTGTCCGCAGCTCCCCATTCGTTCTTCTGGAGTTAATATCCTTCGACTCATTTGCGGGTTGGCAACCACCTTCTCCTGTGTTGTGGCATCTTGTTCGCATTCAATTTGGGTTACACTTGCTTCGTCGGAGGATATTTCAATAATCTCTGTTTCATTGTGCAGTTGGTGACCTTTCAACTGTTCAAGCGCTTTGTTGCGGATTTCGCTCGCGAACATCTGTTCTTCTTCAGCTATTCGTTTCAATTTCCGCAACCTTTCACTCTTTTTATCTCTCCCGACTTTGGCCGTCTTTATTCCCAGTGCCTCTGGTACTGGGATAGGCTTTGCCCACTCCATACCAGGCACAAGCGATTGTTTCGCTGCAGCTGTCGCTTCTTTCTGTGTGGCAGCTATCTCTTCAAGTGTTGGTGACCTTTCGTCATTTTCGGTAGCAGATCGAGGTTCGAAAAGATTCGGGGTACGCTCTGGTACTCTCTGCAAATCTTTTTCTTCGGTTTCATTTTCGGTAGCAGATCGTGGTTTGAAAAAGGTCTTGCTGACGTTTTTCGGATCCAGCTCTGACGCCAAGTTCTCAACTGGTGACCTTTCATTCTTCGTTCCCAGTGCCTCTGGTACTGGGATAACTTTTTCGACATTTCCATTTTCATTTGTCGTTTCCAGTGCCTCTGGTACTGGGATAACTTCTTCCTGTTCCGCTTTTATCACGTTCTGCTGCACTTTTGTCACTCCCGGTGCCTCTGGTACTGGGATGACCTTTTCTTTCCCCCATTGTGTCACCAGTGTCCGGTTTAATGTGTTCTCAATCTCCTGTTGGATCATTTTCAACTGCTCAAATGTTGACAATTCCTTTTTCGCCATCTTTTTCTTCTCCTTTCCCGGTGCCTCTGGTACTGGGATTAGCGTTTTATTAGCCGTTTGAGCATTCTCCGTCTGTCTTTCAAGTTCGGTGACCTTTCCGACTTGTACTTTGGCAACTGGTTTCGGGTCATCTTCTTTTTCTTCTTCCCCTTCATTATCCATCAGTACGAACTTCTTCTCTAAGAAGTCGAATCCCAGTAGCACCTGCACGTCGTCACACTTCGGTCGGACGTAGAACGAATGCTCGCTAGTCTTCTTCCTTAAGGTCACTGGTGCTACACAATAATGCGTCACCAGGAATCCTGACATTCCGCTAATTCCATTTATCTTCACCAGTCTGTCTGGTGGCAATGGGAGCATATGAAGTCCATTCTTTTCACAAAACGGTTTGCTGATCAGCGACGTCTCAGCGCCGGTGTCCAACATTGCGTTGACCTTCATGTCTCCCACTTTCACTTCATGTGTATACGCTTCAATTCTTTTGGGCAATTTTCCGTTTTGAATCTTCAATGTGTGTATCTTGCATTTCACAGGAATTAGAGATACTGGTCCCGGATCCATGTCGGGAAGCACTTGTCCTTTCGCGGGAGTGCTATGACCTTTCAGTATCTCCCTCAATTTGTCAATCCTGTGTGGCACGTCAGTTCGGACATCGTAATATTTCGGCGCCTTTTTTAGTATCTGCTTGCTTCTCTGCAGCCATTTTATCGCTGGTGACCTTTTCGTTATTCTGCACTTGCGGTTTTGCTTTTGTGCTGTCCACGTGACCTTTAGTCACTTCATTTATCGTCTGATGGATCAGTTCCTCTTTACGGTTTTCATTTCGCTTATCTCGCAGCTTCTCAATTACTTCACTTGTTATTTGGTCGGCTCGCTTCAGTTCATCTGCTTCGCTCTCTTTCAACTCGTCTGGTGACCTTTCATATGTAACCATATCATATCCCTTTTCGGTCATCCATTCAATCACCTTTGCTGACACTTCATTATTCGTTTTCGTCGGATTAGTCTGCGAAGACATTCCGTCCGTTCGGGCTGGTGACTTGTCGTTGGCATACTTTTGTAATGCTTGCGATAAGTCCCGTGACCTTTTAACTGCACTATTCTGTTGCGTTTGTACCGTCTCTTTTGACCGTCCTTTTTGTTCATTTTGCGCCAAGTCCTGTGACCTTTCATTGCGCTTTATAACAAATCCACCGTTTGACAACTTTTGTATGGGGACTTTTTCTCCATAATTTTGCGGTTTATGTTCCGGCGGTGCATTTCGCGGGTTATTCAGGTCGACTTGTGCGTTCTTGTATTCCGTTGCGTTGAATACTGGAGCAGAGTTCGGTGACCTTTTAACTTCTCTCCCGGTAACCAATTCCTCCAGTCGTTTTCTCTCATGTTTCCTTTCGCAATTCTCGCATATCCCAGTAATCTTCTTGAGACATTCCCACTTTCTGTTTCGCTTTCGGCGTTACGGGTATCCACATCCCGTGATTCCCGTTCGGTCTATAGGCCACTTTTTGCCATATTTCCTTCCGTTGCAGCGTTACTGCGTCCACAAGTGAGTCATCGGAGTTCTGTTGTGCCGGTTCGCTATTCTTTTGCTGCGCTGTTCGCAGTGTCAAGTCTGTTTCTTGACCTTTCAGCACGGCGCTTTCACCGTGACCTTTAGCGTTCGCACTTGCTCCTTTACTTTTCACTTGGACTTTTCCTACGGAAGGTGACCTTTCATCTTTTCTGTTAGCAGTAATATTCTGCTCCATCCATTTTTGTCTTATCAACTTCTCATCCTCGTCCTCTGGACAATTCCAGAACTTTGGCTTTATCCCTCCGTAACAGTCGCAACGTGACTCATTCACTTTGTCATTTTCTGCCAAATATTTTCGGAATTTCGCATGTTGCTCGTTTTCCTCTTGCGCAGTGTCGTTCTGCAGTTTCTTTTGATTCAGAAGCGCCTGTTGAATCTTTGCGTTTCGTTGTGCGCGTCGTTGCGCTAACACCTCTTCGCTGCAGTACGGTGACCTTTCGTTTTGCTGCACTTTGTGCAGTGTCGCGCTACCGTCACGACAATTCCCACTCGCAGTACCATTCTGCGGTGACCTTTGGTCCCGTTGCGCGTTTCCACTCGCAGTACCATTCTGCGGTGGCCTTTTATCCACTTGTTCTGGTTTCCCGATAACCAGTTCGTTTTGCTGCTGTAACGGCATCCTTATAGCCGTTTCAATTTCCTTTTGCAATGACGACATCCATTTAGCCGTTTCAATTTGCTGTGGCGGCATCCATATAGCCGTTTGCTGTGGTTGCGGCATCCATATAGCCGGTCCACTTTCTTTCTGTGCCGACGGCATCCTTATAGCCGTCGCAGTGGTCACATTCACTGCAGTACTATTCTGCAGTGGTGACCCTTCCATTTCCCTTTTATCCGGTGGTTTAGGGTCGGATCGATCAGTAGGCTCACCGGCGCCTACTGATCTTGCCCGTTTCCCTGAACCGGCGCACCTCCTTGTTGAGCGCCTTGCACATTTCCTTGTGCGTTTCTTTGTCCGCCGTCGTTTACCGGGCCATAATTTTGTCCGCCTCCGTTATTCTGGCCGCCACCATTATTTTGGCCGCCTCCACCTTGTTGGTAGTCTCCTTGGCCACCACCATTTCCGTTGCCTTGGTTGCCACCGTTCCAATTTCCGCGACCGAAGCCTCTGTTCCTTCCTCTGAAGCCGCCGCGGTAGCCGCCACGATTGCCACCGCCTTGGCCGCCATTTCCGTTTCCATTTCCATAATTTCCGTTTCCTTGCTGAAAGTTCGCTTTGGCCTGATACCATTGAGCGATCAGGTCATATCCGTTTGCCACTGCTTGTCGCCAACCGCCCGAATTGCGCAGCCGTTGCCACTCTCTGAAGGCAAACAAGTTTGGATTCTGGTCCAGCGGTGTGTTGGCGAACTTGCATCCTTGTGTCTGATGATTGCCATACATACAGTACTGGCACATCTGCACGCCATTTGCAACCCATCCGTCGATCATCTGAAACTTGAACTCAGTTCGTGACCCTTGCTGACTTTGCTGATTCGGGAAATTGTTCTGATTTCCTCTATTTGGCTGGAAGTTGCCTTGACCTTGCCCTTGATTCTGGAAGTTTCCCTGACCTCCATTCCAATTTCCATTTCCATAACCGTTTCCACCGAAGTTTCCATTTGGCATTCCCTGTTGCGGTATCGCCGCGTTCGGTGGTGCCACATTCTGGGGTACTGGCCTCACTTGGGCCGCCGCCTGTAGCGCCGCAACCATTGCATATGTCATCGGTTGCCCCGTCTGACTGTCGATAAAGGTCACCTTTTCTGTGACCTCTCTGACCGGAGTCTCCACACGGTATTCCACTGGCTGTTGAGCTGGTGCAGCTGCCATCCTGTGTTGTAGTACATTTTCAACTTGGCCTTGGCGGATAGTCACGTATTCCTGATTACGTTGACCTTTTGGCGCTTTGTACTTTTCTTCACCCGTTGCCCAATGTCGGAAAAAGTCCTTAACGTCAGTTGGCGTTCTGCACTTTTGTGTACGCAATGCCTTGTAAAGTTCGTTATCCACTCGGCATCCTTCGATTAAGAAACCCACTGCTTGCTTTTCCGTAATAATTCTCTTAGCTTTGAATCGCATCATCGCTTGATAATACTGGTCAAGCGATTCCTTTCCGAGTTCGAATTTCCTTGCGTAGGCCTCGCGTAAGCCTAAGACTTCTTCATCTCGGTCACCATACTCGTCTTTAAATTTATCCATCCATTCTGTTACTGAATATTCGATTCCGTCTTCTGATGCAATGTCTTTTTCGCTTTCAAACCAGGTTTTGGCAGGACCTTTCACCGCGCTGGCTATCTCGATCATGATTTGATCGTCGGTGAGCTGGTAAGTTCTCTGCGTATCTTTTACCAGTCTTGTCCAACCATTCACAGTATCACGACTGCCATCAAAGGTCACAGTGGCGTTTTCCGGGCCATGGAGTTAAGTGCTTTTGCCAATGCAAAACCTCCTCTCGGGTCTTCCTCTTCTTCGCTACCTTCTTCCTCATCTGGATTTCGTTTCGCCTTCGCATAGCGGGACTTTCTTGGGCGCTCTTGGCGACTCGACGGTCTATCTCGTCGTCCTTCATCGATAAAGACGTTTGTTTCGATGTGTGGGGGAAACTGTGAAGGGTCATCTCGACTCCTATGCGGGTAGCCTTCCGACAACTGCTCTTTTTCCTCATTGACCTTTTCGCCATTTCGCTCCGTTTTAATGCTTCCTTTACCGGTGCCAGTTCGCAGCGGCATTTCAAAGTGGAAGCTTTTGCCCGTTTCGTGTGCCTTACTATAACTGGGCGGGGGTGACTCCACTGTTGCCGTCTTCACTCCATATTGCAGGAGTTGTTCGTCTTTATATTTGACTGACGTTTGAAGTGCTTTGTTCTCGTCCTCCAGGCGTCTGTTCCTTAGGGTGAGCTCATCCCTCTCTCTCCTCAATTCGGTGTTTTCCTGTTTAACCTTCTGCGTATGGTCATGTAATTGGAAAGTTTTTTCCTTCATGACCTTTTCATTTTCCTGTTCCATCTTGTTGATGTGTTCGGCCAGTTGAGTCACTTCTCGCTCAAGTTTCTGGTATTCCTCAGCGGCCGATTTCAGCTGAGTCCTTACTTCGGTCACTTCATCGTCTTTATTCATCACTGTTCTTGTCATTTCATAAAGTTCATTGGTGACCTTTATGTTTTCCTGTTTCTGTTGGGCTATCTGTTGTTGCCATTCTTTCTCTTTCAGTTCCGATACCGTGAGCATTGTATCTAATCGGCGTGCTTCGTTTTGCCACTTAAGACTTTCCTTTGTGGCTTTTTGGAAGTCTTCGCTGACGTTTTTATTCTCTTCAGTGACCTTTTTAATCTCATTCTTGAGTCGTTTTCCCTCGGTGGCGACAAGGTCTCTCAGGTCCCGTGCTACTTTGGCTGCTTCCTCTCGTTTGTTTTCCGCTTCGTCAGCGCGTTTCTGGTGACCTTTCGATTCATTCTGTAGGGTATTAGCTTCGTCACGCAACTTCAGGTCATTCCTGAGCTTAAACGTTTCAGCTGCTAGTTTCGACAACGGTTGGGTAACTTCTGCGAAGTTAGTCGCGTATTCATCTCGCTTTGCCTCCGCTTCGGTGACCTTTTGGCGTAACTGGTCACATTCGTCCCTCAATTCGGCTAAGTGTCGTGACCTTTCTGCTGATTCTTCTGACATGCTCTCGTTGAGGTCACTGACTGCGAGATGACCTTCCATTTCTCTGTCGTCTGCAATCTTCAGGTACTCATCCGCAATCTCTTTTTGTCGTTCATACTTGATTTTCCATTCGTCCGCAGCGCTCTCCAAGTCGCTCTGTTGTTGTTCCAATTCATACAATCGGGTTTCAAGTGTCGTCAATCTGTCATGATATTCCTGTTTCTTCTTAATCGCCTGACGTTCCTTGGCGTCAAGTTCAGTCTCCAGATCCTTGAAGCGGATCTTCAGAGCCGCTGTGGGACTATTCGGTGACGGCGGTCGTACGTTTATGACCTTTCCAGTCTGTGTCCGTTCAATGAGATGTTCGGGTATTTCTTTGAAAGGTGTCATCCCTTCAGCACGGTCGGCTTGTCTCATCGCAGATTGGAAGGACATATTCATCGTCGTTTCACCATCTGTGAAGTACGATTCATTCGAATCATCTGAAACCATTGGAGTTGCTCAAAGGTCATCGCCTGCGGTTTTATCATTTAGCGAAAGGTCATCCAATCCCAGTTCAGCAAGTTCCTCTTCGGTGACCTTTGTCTTTTCAACTTCCATCTGAGCCGGGTTCGCATTTTTATCCTGCTCATTGATTCCGCTGATGGTAGCATCCAATTGGGGTGCTCCACTGCTTCCGCTGTCTTTTCTGTGGTTCCATCCTCCCGGTGACCTTTGTCTGGTTCATCGGTTCACTTCCCGCCGCAGACGCGGGAGTGTGCTTCTGGTCGTCACTGGAGCTTTCCTGATTTGCGACCGCTTCGAGCGCCTTCTGATAAGTGCTATCAGAGCCCCGCGATTCCTTCTTCTCGAATGCCTTAATCGCTCGAGTATTCCGCTCATGTCCAACTGGACGCGAGTATGTGTGCAAATCCTTTTGTACGGGTTTGGTGCGCCTTGCTGTGAGCTGCGGGAGCTTGTGCTTCCCTGGCTGCCGGTAGAAGTGAGTTGTTCCTTGTCTTTGTCCATTTTGATCGGATAACTTTGACGCCCCTGCCAATTGTTCTCACACACGTTATTGTATGGTTTAATCAACTGTCCTAAAGGTCACCCCGTACTTCGAGATTTTTCAAAGTCCTGGTTAAAGGTCACTTTTCGATTGAAAGATTTCGGCTAAGTTCCGTTTAAAGGTCACTTTTTCGATAAAAAGTTCGAAAAATTTGCCCTAAAGGTCGCTTTTTACGACAAAACTTCGAAACCGCTTTTACAGTTCGGAACACGTTTACAGACAAAATCCTACAGCCGCTGATATCGCTATACTATTCGACTTCGTTAAAGGTCACGTTTTGCCAATTTCAGATCTTAAAGGTCGCTTTTGGAAGTCAAACTAATCACTTCCAACTTTTTGGTAAAGGCCCAATCGTCTGAACTCAAAAGGTCACTTTCCAACTCAATTTCAGTTAAAGGTCACTTTCCAGCTCAATTTCAGTTAAAGGTCACTTTCCAGCTCAATTCAAATCAAAGGTCACTTTCCAACTCAATTTCAGTTAAAGGTCACTTTTTTTCAAATATCTCGTCTCATCTCAATTTGCCTTTTTACAGTTAAAGTTCAACGGAAAATCCCCATTTACATTGTTTACTCCGTTCCTATTGGTCCGCTAGCTCAAATGATTCAGTTCAAATTTTGACCAATCACGGCTCAGATAATCGACCAATCACGTTAAACCATTTAGATTTTATAAGTGCCTGACGTCACGGTCAACGGCCAGACATGCGCACCGTGTGCAAAACTCCGCCTACGTCTATGCTCAGCTCAATACGGACCAATAGAAATTGTCAATTTTATCAACTAGCCAATCCCGTAATTAATAACGGTTTTCTACCTGTTAACCGTCCGTTCCACGGGAAGTGATCCAGATGTGGTCCAGATGATCCAATTCCTTCTTCCACAATCCGTTCCCGCGTCGCCGCTGTTCCGTAGCGTGCCTCGCGCTATCAGTCTGCTACTGTGCCGGCGGTAGCAACAGTAGTGGTGCTCTACTGCCAGTTTGGAGGAGTCTGATCTGGTGGTATCCGTGCGCCCCTTTCGGCGCTTCGGCTCTTGTGCCCCACGGCTTAGGCTTCGCTGAAGCCTTGCCGAGTATCAGTGACACCAGTGTAGGTCTTCGCTGAAGACTCTACACCGAGGAACACTGACGACTGAACTCTTGCACTCTTGCACAGCTAAGGAAACAGCACGGTTCTTCGCTGAAGATACCGTACCGAAAACCGAAGCTGGAAATCCGCGTCCAATGGGGGAAACTGCACCGCTTGTGGTGTGCGCTTTGCTGTAGGACAGACCTGTGCCTTACTGGTCACGGGTTTCACGTCGGATAACAGGCCAAATATGCCTGACACAAATCAAATCAATCAGAGAACCGCTGTCGGCTCTGCTACCATCTAATGCTAGATCCAACTGTGATCCAGAGACGGCGACCTAAACGGAATAGATCCCGTGGAGCGAGCAATGCGATATGTATTGCGAGCTATGCGGAAACACAAGACGTCGCACCGCTAATTGCTAACTTTAATAATATTGAAAATCTGCACAACAGAAATCAACATAATGATCGGCGCAGCTCGATCGTCAATCGTAGAGCCAATTCTACAGTGTGCAGCACGTGCTATGCCGCGCCCACTGACACAACTCAAGCCAATCAGAGCGAGACACAACACAGACCGTAATCCAAAGGCCAATCAGGCCTAGCGCCACGGACGTGAACGCTAGTGAAGCCTCGTCTCACAGCGTCTTCAAAATGTTTTTGTTAATGAACAACAACAATTAATCGATATCTGATAACGTAATTAGCGTTACGAGACCTTACAGCAACAATAAAAAAACAAACCAAACTGGAATCTTAAGTCCCTCAAGAACCACGAGGTCGCGAAAGTCGCTAATTTCGAACTTTCTGACCTCCCGTAGGTCCTGCTAATTAACTAATTAGCCACTGAGTCAATTAATTTGAGATAATTCAGAAATGTACTATCATTAATGCTTTATTATGTAGTTACTATCAGCGGTTCTGAAATTTAAACAGTGGATGGCCACAGTCCATCAAAGAATCGTGTTGCGTGCAGACACCATTGGGCATGTATGGTCCTGAAGTACGGGCGGGCGCAATTACGACATTGTTATGGTTATGTAAATCCGATAAGGCCTTGTTGGCTCGGACTTCTAACAGGCTCCACGTGGTTCTGCTTGCCGGAACTCTTACAAAAACGATTTAGTTCAGCGGCACCCTTGGCGGTCGGCTAGCCGTCAAACCAACTAATCGTTGGTCGTTTCTGGACAACGAAACCTTCAAGATGAAAGAGCGTGGCAGCCATGTTTCGTAATCTGCAGTAGTGCATTACCACTAATCGGCATGACAACCCTACAGTCGGCCTTGCGCATCTTGCGATCTACTGCAGTTTACACTACCCGGACCTTATAGCGGTGATGGTGTGCAGAAAAAAATTACGTCAGTCTCCTGTAGCCGTGGACGACACCAATAAACATATAGCCGGCAGTCAGTAATGACCCTTGCGCCTGGTGTATTAATAGCTTCCAGCCGATGCTGCGTTCGTGACGCCGGCTGCTGCTTCCAGAACTGCTGATGTGAGCTTCTGCGCATCACTACCGCACGTGCTACTGGACCGTCCAGTAGCACAGTCCAGTAACAAGTGCGCTAATGTCCGATGCAAACGCATGGGCAACATCCATGAAAAGTGCCTGCACGCATGGTGTAAAGGCAGCTCGGCGTAGCATAAAGACTGTTATGCGATATGTTGTAAGAAACGTAATGGTTATTTTGAGAATTCGATTGTTGAAAGTGCTGTAATTGTTGTGTCCAGTTGTTCACCAATTACTACATCATGCAAAAAAAACCGTTTCTTTTATTTTCCAATTTTGCTGACCAGCGGTCAGTTTACTGACCACTGCAATACCCTTGTTTTGAAGTCCTCTTTATGGACTATACGATGGACGTTTTATTTTGGTCAGTTGTTGTTCGCCAAATTATTATAGAATTAAAGGTTTTCACGATTAGGACCGTCTACGCCCATTGGCGTTGCTAAACACCGAGGTCACCGCCGGTGACCTATGGTCTACAAGCATACAAAAAATTCCATTTCTTAATTAAATTTTTTCATCGGGAAATCCAAGTTTTCACAAAGAAACTCTCACCCCTTTGGGTAGTGAGCGTTGGAGGGTTAACCGCCAGTGCCGTCGCCAGCAGGAAGACTCGAATGTGTTTAATTAGCGTATAAACGTGCATAATGTGCACTGAATGGAACATTGTTGTTTTAATTCTATAACTTGCCATACAATATGTACTGTTATTGCAGAACGCATTAGAATACTTTGAAAAAAACATAATAACTTCTACACTGAGTCTGACCGACCATACGGTGGATTTTTAACACGGTACTATCAGGCATCATGCCCTATCCAGTTAGTCATTTCACTTGATATCTACAGTCTGTACATGATCAAAGACAACGGTTAGCACTAATTTATGAGAATCGCACAAGGCAAAGCGCCAGACATAGTTGCAAAAACTGAAAAAGTTGAGTCACTTCTCGCTCAAGTTTCTGGTATTCCTCAGCGGCCGATTTCAGCTGAGTCCTTACTTCGGTCACTTCATCGTCTTTATTCATCACTGTTCTTGTCATTTCATAAAGTTCATTGGTGACCTTTATGTTTTCCTGTTTCTGTTGGGCTATCTGTTGTTGCCATTCTTTCTCTTTCAGTTCCGATACCGTGAGCATTGTATCTAATCGGCGTGCTTCGTTTTGCCACTTAAGACTTTCCTTTGTGGCTTTTTGAAGTCTTCACTGACGTTTTTATTCTCTTCAGTGACCTTTTTAATCTCATTCTTGAGTCGTTTTCCCTCGGTGGCGACAAGGTCTCTCAGGTCCCGTGCTACTTTGGCTGCTTCTTCTCGTTTGTTTTCCGCTTCGTCGGCGCGTTCCTGGTGACCTTTCGATTCATTCTGTAGGGTATTAATAGCTTCGTCACGCAACTTCAGGTCATTCCTGAGCTTAAACGTTTCAGCTGCTAGTTTCGACAACGGTTGGGTAACTTCTGCGAAGTTAGTCGCGTATTCATCTCGCTTTGCCTCCGCTTCGGTGACCTTTTGGCGTAACTGGTCACATTCGTCCCTCAATTCGGCTAAGTGTCGTGACCTTTCTGCTGATTCTTCTGACATGCTCTCGTTGAGGTCACTGACTGCGAGATGACCTTCCATTTCTCTGTCGTCTGCAATCTTCAGGTACTCATCCGCAATCTCTTTTTTTGTCGTTCATACTTGATTTTCCATTCGTCCGCAGCGCTCTCCAAGTCGCTCTGTTGTTGTTCCAATTCATACAATCGGGTTTCAAGTGTCGTCAATCTGTCATGATATTCCTGTTTCTTCTTAATCGCCTGACGTTCCTTGGCGTCAAGTTCAGTCTCCAGATCCTTGAAGCGGATCTTCAGAGCCGCTGTGGGACTATTCGGTGACGGCGGTCGTACGTTTATGACCTTTCCAGTCTGTGTCCGTTCAATGAGATGTTCGGGTATTTCTTTGAAAGGTGTCATCCCTTCAGCACGGTCGGCTTGTCTCATCGCAGATTGGAAGGACATATTCATCGTCGTTTCACCATCTGTGAAGTACGATTCATTCGAATCATCTGAAACCATTGGAGTTGCTCAAAGGTCATCGCCTGCGGTTTTATCATTTAGCGAAAGGTCATCCAATCCCAGTTCAGCAAGTTCCTCTTCGGTGACCTTTGTCTTTTCAACTTCCATCTGAGCCGGGTTCGCATTTTTATCCTGCTCATTGATTCCGCTGATGGTAGCATCCAATTGGGGTGCTCCCACTGCTTCCGCTGTCTTTTCTGTGGTTCCATCCTCCCCGGTGACCTTTGTCTGGTTCATCGGTTCACTTCCCGCCGCAGACGCGGGAGTGTGCTTCTGGTCGTCACTGGAGCTTTCCTGATTTGCGACCGCTTCGAGCGCCTTCTGATAAGTGCTATCAGAGCCCCGCGATTCCTTCTTCTCGAATGCCTTAATCGCTCGAGTATTCCGCTCATGTCCAACTGGACGCGAGTATGTGTGCAAATCCTTTTTGTACGGGTTTGGTGCGCCTTGCTGTGAGCTGCGGGAGCTTGTGCTTCCCTGGCTGCCGGTAGAAGTGAGTTGTTCCTTGTCTTTGTCCATTTTGATCGGATAACTTTGACGCCCCTGCCAATTGTTCTCACACACACGTTATTGTATGGTTTAATCAACTGTCCTAAAGGTCACCCCGTACTTCGAGATTTTTCAAAGTCCTGGTTAAAGGTCACTTTTCGATTGAAAGATTTCGGCTAAGTTCCGTTTAAAGGTCACTTTTTCGATAAAAAGTTCGAAAAATTTGCCCTAAAGGTCGCTTTTACGACAAAACTTCGAAACCGCTTTTACAGTTCGGAACACGTTTACAGACAAAATCCTACAGCCGCTGATATCGCTATACTATTCGACTTCGTTAAAGGTCACGTTTTGCCAATTTCAGATCTTAAAGGTCGCTTTTGGAAGTCAAACTAATCACTTCCAACTTTTTGGTAAAGGCCCAATCGTCTGAACTCAAAAGGTCACTTTCCAACTCAATTTCAGTTAAAGGTCACTTTCCAGCTCAATTTCAGTTAAAGGTCACTTTCCAGCTCAATTCAAATCAAAGGTCACTTTCCAACTCAATTTCAGTTAAAGGTCACTTTTTTTTCAAATATCTCGTCTCATCTCAATTTGCCTTTTTACAGTTAAAGTTCAACGGAAAATCCCCATTTACATTGTTTACTCCGTTCCTATTGGTCCGCTAGCTCAAATGATTCAGTTCAAATTTTGACCAATCACGGCTCAGATAATCGACCAATCACGTTAAACCATTTAGATTTTATAAGTGCCTGACGTCACGGTCAACGGCCAGACATGCGCACCGTGTGCAAAACTCCGCCTACGTCTATGCTCAGCTCAATACGGACCAATAGAAATTGTCAATTTTATCAACTAGCCAATCCCGTAATTAATAACGGTTTTCTACCTGTTAACCGTCCGTTCCACGGGGAAGTGATCCAGATGTGGTCCAGATGATCCAATTCCTTCTTCCACAATCCGTTCCCGCGTCGCCGCTGTTCCGTAGCGTGCCTCGCGCTATCAGTCTGCTACTGTGCCGGCGGTGCCGTAGCAACAGTAGTGGTGCTCTACTGCCAGTTTGGAGGAGTCTGATCTGGTGGTATCCGTGCGCCCCTTTCGGCGCTTCGGCTCTTGTGCCCCACGGCTTAGGCTTCGCTGAAGCCTTGCCGAGTATCAGTGACACCAGTGTAGGTCTTCGCTGAAGACTCTACACCGAGGAACACTGACGACTGAACTCTTGCACTCTTGCACAGCTAAGGAAACAGCACGGTTCTTCGCTGAAGATACCGTACCGAAAACCGAAGCTGGAAATCCGCGTCCAATGGGGGAAACTGCACCGCTTGTGGTGTGCGCTTTGCTGTAGGACAGACCTGTGCCTTACTGGTCACGGGTTTCACGTCGGATAACAGGCCAAATATGCCTGACACAAATCAAATCAATCAGAGAACCGCTGTCGGCTCTGCTACCATCTAATGCTAGATCCAACTGTGATCCAGAGACGGCGACCTAAACGGAATAGATCCCGTGGAGCGAGCAATGCGATATGTATTGCGAGCTATGCGGAAACACAAGACGTCGCACCGCTAATTGCTAACTTTAATAATATTGAAAATCTGCACAACAGAAATCAACATAATGATCGGCGCAGCTCGATCGTCAATCGTAGAGCCAATTCTACAGTGTGCAGCACGTGCTATGCCGCGCCCACTGACACAACTCAAGCCAATCAGAGCGAGACACAACACAGACCGTAATCCAAAGGCCAATCAGGCCTAGCGCCACGGACGTGAACGCTAGTGAAGCCTCGTCTCACAGCGTCTTCAAAATGTTTTTGTTAATGAACAACAACAATTAATCGATATCTGATAACGTAATTAGCGTTACGAGACCTTACAGCAACAATAAAAAAACAAACCAAACTGGAATCTTAAGTCCCTCAAGAACCACGAGGTCGCGAAAGTCGCTAATTTCGAACTTTCTGACCTCCCGTAGGTCCTGCTAATTAACTAATTAGCCACTGAGTCAATTAATTTGAGATAATTCAGAAATGTACTATCATTAATGCTTTATTATGTAGTTATTATCAGCGGTTCTGAAATTTAAACAGTGGATGGCCACAGTCCATCAAAGAATCGTGTTGCGTGCAGACACCATTGGGCATGTATGGTCCTGAAGTACGGGCGGGCGCAATTACGACATTGTTATGGTTATGTAAATCCGATAAGGCCTTGTTGGCTCGGACTTCTAACAGGCTCCACGTGGTTCTGCTTGCCGGAACTCTTACAAAAACGATTTAGTTCAGCGGCACCCTTGGCGGTCGGCTATGGCCGTCAAACCAACTAATCGTTGGTCGTTTCTGGACAACGAAACCTTCAAGATGAAAGAGCGTGGCAGCCATGTTTCGTAATCTGCAGTAGTGCATTACCACTAATCGGCATGACAACCCTACAGTCGGCCTTGCGCATCTTGCGATCTACTGCAGTTTACACTACCCGGACCTTATAGCGGTGATGGTGTGCAGAAAAAAATTACGTCAGTCTCCTGTAGCCGTGGACGACACCAATAAACATATAGCCGGCAGTCAGTAATGACCCTTGCGCCTGGTGTATTAATAGCTTCCAGCCGATGCTGCGTTCGTGACGCCGGCTGCTGCTTCCAGAACTGCTGATGTGAGCTTCTGCGCATCACTACCGCACGTGCTACTGGACCGTCCAGTAGCACAGTCCAGTAGCAAGTGCGCTAATGTCCGATGCAAACGCATGGGCAACATCCATGAAAAGTGCCTGCACGCATGGTGTAAAGGCAGCTCGGCGTAGCATAAAGACTGTTATGCGATATGTTGTAAGAAACGTAATGGTTATTTTGAGAATTCGATTGTTGAAAGTGCTGTAATTGTTGTGTCCAGTTGTTCACCAATTACTACATCATGCAAAAAAAACCGTTTCTTTTATTTTCCAATTTTTGCTGACCAGCGGTCAGTTTACTGACCACTGCAATACCCTTGTTTTGAAGTCCTCTTTATGGACTATACGATGGACGTTTTTATTTTGGTCAGTTGTTGTTCGCCAAATTATTATAGAATTAAAGGTTTTCACGATTAGGACCGTCTACGCCCATTGGCGTTGCTAAACACCGAGGTCACCGCCGGTGACCTATGGTCTGTACAAGCATACAAAAAATTCCATTTCTTAATTAAATTTTTTCATCGGGAAATCCAAGTTTTCACAAAGAAACTCTCACCCCTTTGGGTAGTGAGCGTTGGAGGGTTAACCGCCAGTGCCGTCGCCAGCAGGAAGACTCGAATGTGTTTAATTAGCGTATAAACGTGCATAATGTGCACTGAATGGAACATTGTTGTTTTAATTCTATAACTTGCCATACAATATGTACTGTTATTGCAGAACGCATTAGAATACTTTGAAAAAAACATAATAACTTCTACACTGAGTCTGACCGACCATACGGTGGATTTTTAACACGGTACTATCAGGCATCATGCCCTATCCAGTTAGTCATTTCACTTGATATCTACAGTCTGTACATGATCAAAGACAACGGTTAGCACTAATTTATGAGAATCGCACAAGGCAAAGCGCCAGACATAGTTGCAAAAACCAGAGAGGGTAAAGAATGAGATCAGTAACCCCATATAAGCAGTGGTATTAACGTACGGAGCATGTTGAGGAATGTAGTGGAATTGTACGGAGCATGTTGAGTAGCATGTTGCGTACAACTTTACTGTACTCAACATGCTCCGATGCGGGGAACATGTTGAGTGAAGAGGGATGGAATAGCTGGGTGTTAACACATGTAGCTAAGCTTACTGGGTGGAGTATGTGAAGTAGAACCTCGGAACTTCGCATTAACCCATTAAGCCAGTAGGTATGCAGGGTAACACCGTATTAACTTCATTGTACCCAACATGCTCCAGTGTGTAGAGCATTGTGAGTGAAGAGGGAAGACATAACAGAGCTTTAACAGGTCCAGTTAAACGTACTAGGGTGGAGTATGTGGAGTAGAACCTCGCAGTAACTTAGTAACTTTGCAGAAGTCAGTAGGAATACACGTGAATGCCACTAGCCAACCCAGCTAGAATTTCCCATACTCGCAGCTTTACTGATTCCTCATTTCCCGCCATTTTTTTATGCTTTTTTTTATATGTCGATCCACAAAACATAAATTTGGTAATACACGCTATGAGTCTGCTGACGGTGACGGTAACCCGTTACGGTAACGGGGACCCGTCACGGTAACGGTAACCCGTTACGGTAACAATAACGGTAAGCCGTCACGGTAACGGTAACGGTAACCCGTTACGGTAACGGTAACGGTAACCCAATACGGAAACGGTAACGGTAACCCGTTATCGTAACGGTAACGGTAACCCGTTACGGAAATGGGTTACGGGATACGGGTTCAACAAGCAACCGGGTAAGAATTCCTCAATCCTCATGTTCACAGTTTTCGCAGCGTTCGCCAAGGGTTATTGTTTTACTGGTCAGTCTATATAACTATACACTATAGCAAGCCGAGGTTGATTTTCCCATATTCGCAGAATTCGCAGCTTTCGCCGCATTCGCCAAGAATAATTTACAGTTTAAGGCGATCTATTTGTTTTGCTTCATTCCTAGAGAAGTTACAGTAACTACGTTTTGTAGAATAGAAAAAAATGCTCTTTAAAATGAGAGATCTTTTGAAAAGCATAGAAACTGAACAGAAACAGAAATCTGTCTAAAACCAAAAAGTACCGGGGGTCTAAAATGACGCACGGGTGCAGCAGCACGGTTCGATTCACGTAGCTGCCACCACATTTCGAATCAAAGTGTACCCAACCGCACGCGGGCTGCGTGTCTGCGTAGCGCTATGTCTGTGTGCAGGCTGCGATTTCGTGAACGCCATGCGCAGCCTTCAGGTAGCGTGGTTGTCTCCTCAAACTCGTGCACCGATGCAGCGGACCATTTTCGAAACACAACCCTAATTTACTAGGAATAATATTTGGACAGTTCTACGCGTTTTGTATTCCATTGCCGCAATGGAATTGGATGTTCTTGGTACCACTGGAAACAGAAAATTATTCTACATACTGGGTTTTCTTGGTTTTGCGATAGAATCTTTCGAACTCCAGCGCTCAGTGGTTTTATCGGTAAGAACAATTAGTTCTAAGTTTAAA